ATACATGAATGTATGTCGAGACAGTGATTGAAATGTGTACAACAGAAGTTCGCCAGGGGTTGGGAATGGAAAGCAATGGATAAAGGTCACCGACTGAAGTGCACCAAAACTTATGCATTCTGTGTCTGGGTGTCATCTCTCAGCAGGATGTCAATCATCCCAATTTCGTCGAGATTAACCCGATTTTACTTAAAAATCGTATAATCCTTATACCAGAACACAAGATAGAGTATAATCAACTGAAACTGATTTTCCAAAAGCTAAAGAAGCTACAAGAATTATATCGTCATCTTCTTGCAAACAATTTTTTTCCATATTTTTTCAGTGTTGTTTTTATTTGTGCTAAATATTACCATTGCCTTATTAAACTATTTTTCGAAGAAACCTAATCAAAAAAACCTAGTGCTATAGCCACTTTATATTTTGTCGATATACGCTCCTCTCACCTTTTTCAATTTTTGGCAGCTACTGACGCAAATAAAGGGAATACGATAGGAAATAGCCAAAGGGAGCAGCGGGCTTTTTTGCGATTTCGCAGTATCGAAGTCCTGATGGTGTTACCACGGGCCATCATACTCGTACCACCCGGTCTATGGTACCCGGGGTGAGGGCAGGCACATTGCTGCCTTTCAAATGATTGCCATTGCCATAGGTCACGCCAAATAAATTATAAATAGTAAGTGACTCATTTAAAGCTTTGATGCTGATGTTGATTGTATCGATCAATCAGTAGAAATCGATAACAAACTCGTTTTGTTCATCAGACCAAAGCACCAGATCTACGACGCACGTAAACAAAACATACCTGGTTTGATAGGCTCAAAGACCGGACCCGGGAGACGGCGGAAATCGAGCCTACTGGTTTGATTGAATTGCAATTGACAGTCGAAGTTAAGGATCAAACATTTATCACTATTTACAGTCATGGCAGGTCAAGCGTACCCCCCAAGCAGTGAATATTTTGCGAGAACTTCTCTCTGTATTTGGTCAGATTGAAAATCTTTGAATGGATTAAATTTCTTACAAGACATTTACATCAAATTCAGGGAAACTGAGCTGGTAGAAATTTCGTAACTGAATCGCGTGTGAATTCACGGCTCATTACGCATGCAAGAATGCAGAGATGAATCTGCACCGCATCAATCAGAAGCTGCGTTCGTGGGCGAACGCAGTTTTTCAAAATGGTGGGGTTTGCGGGTAAGCGTTTCCTTCTATTCCCTCCGGGTATTCCCTCCTCCTCCCCAGTTCATCTGTCAGTGGTGTGAGCGTATGTATCTTTGTGGCTTTGTATCTTTAGTATCTTTGTATCTTTGTACGTTCGGATGTTTGTTGCAAGAGCCAATAAGGTTGAAGGTACTATGAGTTGATGCTTAGGAACCAATGAGATCTTGGCATTTAAAAATAAAAATCTGCAACTACCGACGGATTCAACTTTCGAATAATAAATTCATTAATGGGATCTTGGGGGGTACGCTTGACCTAGCTTGACTGTAAAGAAATCTTAAAAATAATCTTATCTTTTCCAGTCTTAAATATATTGGCCAGGTTTGTAGCGGGCCCATCTGCCACCCTTTCCAAATAACGTCGGTGTAGTTCCGGGTTAAATCCTGGATTTGTCAGTTTAGTCAATAGATAAAAATCGAAATCGATACAAATCTTTAGCTATCAAGTGATTTTTATCGATTGATAACGAAAAACCGTGAAAATCTATGGTTCTCATTTCCGTTGATGTTACCTCCAACAACTGTCCACTTTTTCCAGTCCGGCCGATACGTACACCGTCATTTATATTCCCAATAAATTGTTGGCCTTCGCTAGTTTCCACTGCTCTATCTCCAGTTATACTTTGAAAGGACTCAGATCTGATAAACCTCCGCACAAACACAATTCAAATGAACAAAACATACCTGGTTTGATTGATGTATTGATTGCTATTTAATCACGACTACTAGCACCGCACCAATCAGAAGCTGCGTTCGTGGGCGAACGCAGTTTTTCAAAATGGTGGGGTTTGCGGGTGAGCGTTTCATTCTATTCCCTCCTCCTCCCCAGTCATTCCTTTTTTTTTTTTGCTCTCGTCACAACTTCCTCGACGAACTCCAGCGTAAACGCATGCTACGCAAGTTAATACAGAACCTTGATAACTCGAACTCGGATTACTCGAATTCCCCGCTAAAGTTAACTAAATTTCCTTTCCCTTGATCAAGATTTCACTGAAATTTACCGCTAACTAGAACTGTTTTTAGTTTCACTACAGAGTTCGTGTTACCCGGGTTCTACTTTACTTTTGAGCGAAATATATATGACCTCACAATAACAGCTTAACTGAAACAGTAAGTGGTCGCTTTAAAATGACCTGACCGGTTGAAAAGAAAGAAAGTTTATAGGTATATATCCACCACTATTCACCTCCCGTACGTTGAAAGTTGTATGATATTCAATATTTTTACCTCATAGACCTTCACTATTAACATTGCGATTAAATTGGTTTATGAACATACCTCCTTCTAATTTCGACAAGAGAACGTCTATACAAGCTCTGTATTCCTCCTCTTTGATAGTCGTCGTCAGTTTAACTTCAGCTAGACCAAACGCTTTAAGAATTCTCTCTGTCACAAGGAATTTCTGCGCCATTTCATTAAGTTGACCTGTACTATAGTCTTTCCAGAGTTCTTCAAGGACCGCAAGAGAGCTACACTGTACCATGACTTCTAAACTTCCAGTTTTCACATCCACGATCACAACTTTACGCACTTGTTCCATATACTGAATAAATTTATTAAACTCCTCCGGTGTTGATGGATCAAGTTTCTTGAAGTACGTTGACGCAATTAAATTCAGAACATCCTGAGATGAGGGCATAGCTCCCCTTTCAACATTGTCTTGCCATGAACCAGTAACATCCTCAACTCGGGACCTTTCCGATGTGCCAGGTACTACTGCTGCCTCTACTGCTGCAGCCTCCTCTAGTGATTCTGCTACAAATGTAGTCACAGTTTGTGGTTGTTTTGAGACCAATGATTCTCGCGCGGATTCCTGGGACATTGACTGGGCTTCCATCCCTGTAGCCTCGACTCGTGGACCAAGGCTTATCATTTTCTCACAATCAAACCATATCCGAAGACGAGCTGTCAAAAAAGAAAACCCTACTGAAAATAGTTTTGCACCGCTAAGCGAAATGAAGAAACAAGTAGTAGACGGTTCACAGTGTACTAATCGAGTGCCTTACCGGTACGGAAGACAATCTGTAGATTTGACACTCTTTCCTAGGCTATAGACTAGGGACATCTAAAATCAAGATGGCTGCCCTTGTTCCGCAAAGCGCTCAATCTTGGCGATCTTACGGGAAAATAGGCTACTGTGAACAGTCTAAACAATTAGGGGCTAGTGCGTTGTTCTAAGAATAACATAAACCACGGGAGTTAAATACCCAATATGCATGAAACAGATCAGCTTCGTAACCACTAAAAACACGACACATCGCGGCAAAAATAAGTTACTCAGTCAAAGTTTAGAATGCTCCATGCACTGCGTAGTGACCTAAGCGCGACAGCCTGTCCACAGATCCTCTATTTTCTCCTTCGAGATCGTGGAACGCGCGTATAAAAATAAAAACCGCGGGAGATTTATTCACCACATGCGCGGAGGTGTGGGGGTTACATCGCCCCGCGTTCGCTTTCGCTCGCTGTCAAACTGTCGAAGAAATAGAAAAATGTCTTGGACAGGCAATACGCGCGAGAAAGAAAATTAGGAAAAGCTTTGTTTATTTAAGCAAACTCTGAGGTTACGTTTCACATTATCACTGTTCAAGGGAAACATTCAGTTGTTTTACATAAAACGGGGAAAAACACTACAATAAGTAACCGGCCTTTCAGCCACCAGAAGGGGAGTGGGTACTGCCATATATGGACTTCATAGGTACGTGCCACGGTGAAGGATGTGGTTTTAAAGCAACTTGGTCTAAGAAAGGGTACAGAAATCAGAGAGTTTGGGTCTAGAACTGGGTATCATTTTCTGGGACACTGATCAATTGGTTGAAGATTTTAGTCTAGCCTAGGGAAACCGTTAATAGTAAAAAAGTTGGCACATCTAAATTCACCCACAACTCAGTTTAATAGCAAAGAAAGCGTCTACCTCAGTTACTTCTGGAAAACAGCAACTCTAGGATAGGGAGCGATTTGGGGAGTTTAATCTCGTATGTCAATATCGATCTTCAAGCACACTATTGTAGTTTTATTGTATTCGCTTGCCTTAGAAACCCAGCTGAAAAAAAAACATAAACCTCAAACCTATATCACCAGTGAAGAAATGAACATGAGATGCTACCTGTAGCCGTCGGTTTAGCGTCACCTTCATCTTGCGATTCTTGCAGCTTTGCAATCTTCTGCTCTAACCTAGCGATGTCTTCTTTATTAGCAGCACTTCCAACTGTTCGCTTGATAGCGCTTAACAACGCCTTTATCTCAATCAAATCTGAGCTTACTTCCTCAAGAAACTTGATGTATTTCCCAGTCTCTTCTTTTATACGGGTTTCCAATTGACAAACTTTGCTTGTAGGAAAATCCGCCTCCGTCAAACTCCTAACAGCATCGATTAAAGCTGTTGAGACGCCAAGGCCGTGGAACGCATCTTTTGCGTAATTCATGCGTTGGTCAAAGGTCGCTTTGTCCATCTTAGATCTGGTTGAGTGACAAAGCGAATTCCTAAGAAGACGAAGCTGATCAATCGAAAGCGCAAATGTCTCCTCATTGTTTCCGCCAGAGCTTATCACAGAGGCATGGAAACTACCATAAGCTAGGGGCTTTGCATACAAAACTTTGAGGGTGCTTCCTTTTGAGGCAAAGCATCGAGCAAATATGGTGGCCTGGAAAAGGCTGGTACAATCCCATTCATCGTAAGACTGGTGGACGGGAACTTCAATCTTCTTGCCACTTTTCGCCTCCTCAATGTAAAACATGTTTCTCACAATGGTGGAATCGTCCCAAAGCTGTAAACCAGGGCGATGTCCATACTTTTTGTCCCACATGGTTTTGAACGCCTGCCGTAAGGCTTTTGGGAATTCATCTAACACCAAGGACGCGAACTTTAAGAAATTCAATTGTTCATCACCAAAAGGCTGTAATTCCATCTTCAGTACGTTTTGGCCCGCCTAGATATAATGACAAAAAGGAGGAATTGCAAGACTGCTTGGAATTTTAGTAGTACAATTAGTAAGTGGTTAGATGAGTGTAGTCCTGAGTAAGAGTCTTTGACAGTGTCCGTAGTCCTCCGTCCGTAGTCCGTGTGTTACTGACTGACCGCCTTTTGATTTTTTATAAGCCATCTAGCAAATCTAATAGAGGTGACAAGACTAATGTCAGAGTTTGAAAATTCTGACCGTCAACTCACTGTTTATATCAAAGAAGCAATATCAAATATATGTTTGAAATTAAAGTATATATAGTTCATTGTTGGAACAGTAAACACCGGCTAATAAGAACCCAGTGGTTTAAGAACCGGCTTGCAGAAATTTTTCCCTTTAACACCCAAAAATATAAGAACCTGTTTAGCTAAGCATAATCAAGCAGGTTCTTATATGCAGGTTTTAACCAAGGAGTTTGACTTGGAGATTGTCAATTGATATAGCAAGAATTAAGATACTGCACCAAACTGTAATTAATAATAATCTCTTGATTACTGTAATTCCTACAACAAAAAAAGATTTATAAAATGTGCAAATTGTAATGGCCTTCACGGACCTTGCATAAAGGACGTTTGCAATCTACAGTTGTGAATAATGACTATTTATAAGATATTTATATATATTAAGAGTGATTTTCTGTAAAATTCGAACTTCGGCCTGTCACGGTACCTCATCGATTTGGCTGATTTTCGGCATGTAGTCTTAGAATGGTGTCCTGAATACTGAATGCATATTATAAGGTTCGAATTCTCTTTGGTTTCAAAGATACAGGAATGACAGTTTTGACGAGGTCTCGAGGGGCCGCCATGTTGGTGAACTGAAGGAGATTTACAGTAATTAATTCTAGCCTTATCATTAAAATAACTTAATCGTGACTCATACAGTTGCAAAGAACTATCCTTCCTCCTTTCATTTACCTACTCTTATCTGAAAATGGTTAAGCCTGAGCTACGAACGGCTATAACTTCTCACAGCACTTTTTCGTTACTTAAAAGGTACACAAATTTGGTAGAAATTGGAANAACTGAAACATTACTATTTACACTTTTATTGAGGAAACCACTAGTTCTTTTGGAAGTTTAGGAAAAATGCTCCCTTGTTATTGATTCACAGCATGTCAAATATCTGAGAAAATGTACCATGGTCAGGGGAAATGTAAAAGAAAACAAAGGAAATAAGCTGACTTTTGGGGTTATACTTTTAGCCCTGGAAGTGATGAGCATCAAGTTTCCCCTCTCACATATGTGCTTTTTAAAGCAAATACAGGTAGCCCTTTTTTACAGTTGCAGCTGGAAATGAGGCTAGAGTTGACTCTGTTTTAATACAACCCTTCCTGCTTTATTATGTAAATCACGGTATTTTTGTGCTAACAATGATTATTATGCATACTTTCAATAAGAAAAGTAGGGAGTGGTTTGTATCAACACAAGCTCACCTCCATCCTTGCATTTAATAAAAAGCTAGGGCACTAAACCCACTACTTAATACAATATTACAGTAGAGAATACAATTCAGGGGAACAGCAATACTTAAGTCTGGAATCTGTTAGCATTGCCACTGGTCAGGATGGTAAAAAAAACCGAAACAGTTCTCAGTAAGATGAATGGTAAAACACTCTTGCGCCCCTAACTGTGGTGAGAAATCTGGGTGCATGATTTTGGGCAATTTCATTTCAGGATCCAAGGTTCCAATAAATTCCTGAAAAAAAAGAAGAAAAAATCACCGAAATGCCAAGAAGTCTTTTCTATCTGAATGCTACTAGACAGTAGTAAGTCTTCATGAAAAACAATATTCATAACCTTGCAACATACATCCAAGATAGAGCAAAAGAAAGTGACTCAAGAGGAGTGAAAAAAAATAGAAATAAATAAATAAACAAGAGGCTAAAGAAAAATAGCCTACTACGTTAGCCAGCTAAGCTCATCAGGCTAAGCTACCGGCTACCCTAACTGAAGATCCTAAAGAAGTTATCCACATTATACTATAAAAGCAGCTGACTAAAGTCATGTACAGCTGTAGTTGTACAGAGCACACTTTTTTATTCACCTTCACATGTATATGTCATTGCACCATTGCGTCAGTCTCTGGAAATGTGAAAAAATCCAAATACCACCTTGACATCGTCATTTCCCTTCACTCTGAGCATCTTCTGATAATCTTTCGGTTTGAGGGTTGGCGTCACTTGCCAGGCAAAAGCCAAGATTTCCCCGTGGTCGCACCGGTTCTTGCGATTCCTGAAAGGCACAAAAATAACCATCCATGAATTTCTAACGAAGAGAAGATCCAGAAAAACTAGAAATGCAATCGTTATAATTTTCTTACGATGACAACTTACCCTATTTTTACAACTGGAATTAGAACTGTCTCCGCACCGGCCATTGCACGAACATCCTCTGTTACTGTTTCCTTTGCGCTTCGTGCTGAAAGCGCTCTTACAACTACATCCTTGTGATCTTACCTAACGATAAGACTTCGCTTTGGTGCGTTCTAAATGTCAAACTAAAGAAATCGAGGAAATTCCAAGCAAAATATTTCCACAATACCGAAGAATCCATCATGGCGGCCATGATAAACAGAGGGTGATTTCCTGAGCATGCGCAACTCATGAGACTGCCCCTTTAAATGATCCTTTTTTCAGATCTTCCTTTTTTTGGTAGTGAAGAATCCATATGATTTGAGATCACAAATCGGTTTTTGGATTTCCCCCAAAAAACGCACCCTAAGTTATCACCTCCGAATTCCAGTTTAAGCATCTCATCAGCAATCAACAGATAGTTCAAGAAAACGATGGCTGCCGGTTAAGTGCCTGTTTGACGTTCCTTTATCGTTCCTCGTCCCCCATACCCGGTACTTGTTTAGTAACAACTAAAACTGGCTAACCATAGCAAGCTAAGAAAGTGGAATGCTTATGAAGCCCGACAGACTTCTTTGTCGTATGTTTTTGTTAGCTTTTTTGGACCTGACCTTGTACGACGTTCAATAGCATTCCTATACTGACCAATAGAAATATCACATTAATTTATTCAGTCACAATTTGTGAACAAAAAAACAAAAGATTGTGCACAGTCGGGGAGCTTCCAATATAAACTGTAGCACCGTTGTTTTCATCTTTGAGGTTCACCGGCGGCTTTCCACCTGGCGGCTTTCATAACCAGTCTCCTCTACTAACCATGGGCTAACACTACAGCAATTTGATTTTTTTAAAATCGGTGCAACGAACAGATCCCGTATCATAAGAATGCAATATCATGTTGCTGTCCTGATGAGATAAATTAAATTTGCACTTTACTGTATACTGAAGTGCTGAAAATCAGTAAACTGCACATTGAATATTCAATCGACCGGATAACTCCAATCCCCGCTATTCTATCAAAACTGCCTTTAGACGGGTCGATTTACGGGGGTTCTACTGAATTGAAAATACTTTTTTTAGTTTATTTCTCCATCTTATAACGATAATTTTGGTTATCCCTTTATCAGGTTCGGCTCATGTCAAGTTCGGCGTTTGAACCGGCGATTAGAATATACAGTGACACGTTGTTTTATATTTATCGGGATCGTGTGACTAGCGGATCTGTTTTTACTGTTCAAACGCAGAGTCATTTTTGTCCGAGTACTTAGACATTTGACGTCTTCGATAGCTAAAAATAAAGTGGTTCCATTATTTAAACCAGTTTAAAGAAATTCAAAGTTTTCTTTTGTCGGCTTGGAGTAATCCAAACCAATTTTCTCAACGTATTGGAGATAATTTATACGCGGAAATCATAGATCAGTTTGTTGAAGACTTTGAAGTGTACATGTCTCGGACGGCTGACTGCGTCTACAGTCACGAAAGCTTCCAACAGATTCCCATGAACTCAAGGTGCAAAACATACCATTTTTATTCCAGAGTTTCCTCTCCCTCCCCCCTTGTTTTCTTTTTCACAAAAAAGGTACCAACTTCAAGGTCTACCAAGAGATTTATGAGACTTATACTGAGCATAGTTGAGACTGGCCATTCCACTTTAATAACTAGATGTACTGAGTTGACGGGCTTCAGACATGACTGCCCGTGATTATATACTCTGTCTGTTTCATAATCGAACTCATGAAGAACTCCGTGCCCGATTTATTCGATTGCCGAAATCGATCGAATTTAAGAAACCATTAAGTTCGATTGAAATTCTGTTCGTTTCTGTTCGATTAGATACGTCGGGATATAAGCGCAAAAGTTGCCTAAAATGTCACTTGTGCGCAAATAAATTATATCTGTACTCTATTGATAGGCTTAATCCGCGTGTGTGTTCTGATATGTGAGCGAATCAGGGCATATTTTTTATGGCGGCTAAGCTTTTTTCTTTTCGTACCTGGCCTAGCATGAAGTTACTCTTCACTTCCGTGTTTCATATACAAACGACACAGTGCTTGGTCAAAATTCACATAAAAATAACTTACCTTCGAGACATATGATGCAAGTTAATGACTGAATCGCAACATCTAGCCAGTAAGAACATAATTCATGACTTAACACCTTGCACACAACATTCCGCTAAAAAACAAACCGCCTTGTATTGTATGTTAAACATACGGGTAATCAGTTAAGTGGCACAAGGACAACATACGGGTACGTTGAATGTTTGTTTATTGGGCTGCCTGTGGCAAAGCTCAAAACGGTCAGCACTCGTTAACATCCGTCGAAAGTCCCTCTTATCTTCGGTCGGATTTCGTAAACGTATGACGTCACGCTCGCCTCGAAGTTTCATATGTGATTCATCTGCACTTTTTGGTGAGAGATTTTGTCCTACTTTTTCGATCATTCATCGATTGATTCCAATCAATTCAAACAAGAAGATGCCACTGCCTCCGTTTAAAGGATGTTTTGATGTTTGAAGACTCTTCTTACTTCGCGGGGAAAAGGACCTTTCAGTGGATGTTATTGAATAACATCCTTTGAATGGCCCCAGATC